AAGGGGAAAAACCCTATTAGTATATTTTGGTACTGGCAAAGGAGGTCCCATGATGCAACACGCAGCTAACAACCAGGAACATCCGTTCAATGCAAGGCTCTCAACCCAACCGCTGTGCTCCCGTGCGCAGGTGCGTGACGAGTACGTTCGCATCGCGCGGCGTCTCTGCGGCTACACGGAACTCGTGAGGGGATCAACGTCATCCTCCAGTGGCCACGGAACCCGGACACGGGGCTCGGTGAGATCCCCGCTGTCCCCTTTAATCCCAGGGGCATTCTGCAAAAAACAAAGACAAAGATCCCCCGTGTAGCCTGTATTAGCCTATTGGGGCAAGTGCCGTTCGCGAGAACCTATAAAGGCCAGTATGGCACACGAGGGGATGGGTGGACATCACACACAGCCTTTGCCTCTCCAGCAGCGATGTTTACACACTGCACCAGGTACTCATTTGAGGCTGAGTCGACCTAGGGGAGGCCCAGGACTGGTTCAGATAATCGTCACTGGTTATGGTAGCCATGAGCGGGAATCGAACTCGGGTCACTGGGTTCGTAGCGCAGCGCGCTAACCGCTACACTACAGCTCCCATTCTGCTGACACACAAGAATACAGGTTTCTCCAGGTTTGCTCAGTGCTCTCCTCTTTCACACTCAGGTCTAAGAGTGCTATATGCTCTTGAATATGTGGTTTGTCTCCAGGGTTTGAAATTCATTTTAATACTATCGAATTCAGGGTTCGAAGCATCCATGTATTTTTGTCTGTGTGCATGTAAAGTGGGGATCACGATAGCTCGTAAAGATGATGCAATGCAAAAAATATTTAATATGAAGTAGTGTTGCTATTAGGAACTTATTATTCTAGAGAATACTGGCCAAATTTATCAAAGGATTTCCAAAGCCTTTGTAAGAAAAAAACAGCACTAAAAGTACATGCTTTGCCAGTCAAGGCGATGACCTGACACTTAATGACATCATCTCTTCACATCACGAGTCATAAGCTATATGAAGTAATTCCATTGTGGGTTTTTTGATGGACGTAACATAAATATCGCGAATTCAATCTTTCAGAGGACAAATGCATTTTGGCAAACATTACAGAATCCATGCGTGTGCATGATTGTTTCGTATGTGTTACTTTTTGTTCATTAGGTTGGAAATGGCTTCGGGGCGTCCTTCAAGTTTGAAGAAACGAACCAGGGGTTCCGATCGAATGGGCTTCAGCCATCTTTTACTGAAAATGGAGGCGGAGGTCACCTGAAAACATTTGCCAAGTCCGGGACTGACTGAGGCTTTGGGCCTGAAAACGTTCAGGCCTGGATGTGGGCTTGATGCCTAATTAAGCCTTGAGGTCGAGGGTGTTTAATAGAGGACCGATATCACGGTGTTTGTGATGCAGCACCAAACATAACACAAACACAACACAGAATCAAACTAAGAAACAACAATGCAACACATACATATCACAATCATGACAACACAATACATGACACGGGCAAATGAAGCACAATTCACGCCTCAAAGTACAACGCAATGCGCAACACATTCAGAGCGCCATGCATAACACAATCACATCAAAACAATACAAAAAAACAACACAATACACAAAACAACACAATCCACTCAACATACATAACACAATACACTATGTAATATTAAATTATTACAATGAGGCAGTGTCCCTAACAAAGGTGGAAGATATCGTTTGTGCGTGTGCATCACTGTCAATGCTTGCCTTTAGTGTGAACCATATTTGTTTTTTTCTTCATTACACTGATTGGTATTGCACACGGTCATTTGTGTTTCATTTTGTAATAAATCACACTCCTCCAGCAATCAAAGCTGTTCTGTCAGCCCCAGTCAACCTTTCCTCAGTGGGAGGCTGGTTCAATCGCTTCTTGCCCCAGTTGTCTAGAACTGCCTTCTCCCAGCCATCTCTGATCTCTGCTGCCAATTCCGCCGCGCGCTTGTTTAAGTCCAGGCTCAAAGCCTTGCTTTTGTCATCTGCCTATGCCACACCTCCGATTAGCACCGTTGGCTACGTACGGTGCGAAAGAAGTTCAACATACATATATACGTGACCGACTGCCTCTCTGTATTCAACAAATATTCCCGTAGTTTCTGTATCGCATCTAGAGTTGCAGTCCCATTTAGACGCTGTATAAATTTACATATTGTAGTTACATCACGGTTACCGATTGGTCATAAATCGCAGGCGATTTAACAGATAATAATAATAAATCGCAAGGTAACCGAGTCAAGATGACGAACTGAGAATTTATTTCAGTTTAATCATAAATGTAGTCAATATAATTATCATCTTTCTTACATGGTACTGTTAGTAAAAGAATAAACTGTAAATCAGTAAAGCAAGTAAGCGACCTACTGATATTGTATCACAGAACATGAGTGTCATCCCCCTGTCTGCCTGGGTTTCTCCGGATACTCAGGCTTATTAAAATGTGAAACAACAGAAAGGCATTGATCAATCATACCAATACAGGAACCTTCTAAAAATAGTTTTGAGGCTCAGTGAGGCTTTTCTGGATAAAAGACTTATTAAAATTAAATTACCTTTAGGAGTGACTGAAAGGAGACCATGTGGAGTTTTATTTCAGCGATTGACTGAAATACCAAGAATCTCTGCCTAAGACAGCCTCAATTGTGAAGCTGAAGGTCCTTTGCCTGGGATGTTTGACCAATTTCTCATTGAGTTTTTGTTGCACATTTGAGGATACCGGATTGTCCAGAGAAACTCTACGCCTATGAGGGAGAACGCTTAAGAAAATCCGTGCGGTCTCCGTGTGACCGTAACCTTGTCGTCATGAATTCTACTCGCCCAGTTGTTTGGTGTTAAATGACTGAAATGTGAGTGACAGAGACATGGCTTTGGAGATTTTTTTGTAATTGATTGAAATGTCTTCGTATGATCAGACGTTTCACATAATCTCGTAGTATTGTGAGCAAATTTGTGTAATGATTGTCGAAGGAAACGTTTTAGCTCATGTACAATAAGCAATGTAAATACATACAACATTTCTGCACCTTACTCACATATAAATGCTTATATATCTGCTTAGAGTAATGTCGTTTCCTCTGTAATATACCAATTAAGCTTTATCAGCCGAAATAGGCCCTTCCGTGCCTTTTGCCTGAGCACTCTGCCTATCTTCCGTTAACCTGCTGAGGTGGGTCACCAAGGTGAGCGTGGAGTCAAGAGCTCTCATCCAGCCTCTACCCACCGGTTATTGACAAGAACTCACAATGTGATTGGCTGCGAAATCATTGTAACTGTAATTTACGGGCAACCGTGTTCAAACAACATCGATGAATCTGGCAGTTTTTTTAATGTCTTTTGCCAACTATTTTTTAAAACACTTCAGTAGTATGAATCCATCGTCGGTATAGGCCTTTGAGTGGTTTTTGGGCATTCTAATGAACTTAAGAATCCCAAAAATGCCTCAATTTCACCTGTGATAACGCATGGCAAACCGCAGTCGTTAGCAGTTGAAAATATGTTGATTTTATTTATTTATTATAATCGCAAGTGCAGCACTCGGTTCTGCATTTTTGGTATAAAAGCGCTTTACACGCAGAATCGTAAATGTCTTTTTCATAAACCAAAATTAGCCAGTGATTAATTTCACAAAGGCGTAGGAAGATATCAGCTGACATATGATACTACATTTATTGCAGCGGGGCTTGTTAGTAAGCAATCTCTTAACATGCACATGTATCAATAAGGCTGCTTAATTTAACGATACATTTAATGAAGCGACCAATGTGCCTTCTGCATCAGTGTAGTACAAGAGCTTTAGTTTAAACACGCCAAATCCTGGACTGGTTGGGACTTCAATTAATCTCAACAGGCCTGTAAACTATTTCGTGTATTCTGTCTGAACAAAACAAAAATATACAAAAGAAGCCAACTTTGTGAAAAGGAAATTTCAACAAAGCGAAGATATAAGGCGTCACGGTGCCAGGTTGAACGTTGCCACACAGTTGTGGGCACATTTTTCGTTGGGAAAGTGCTCATACTGCTCTTTCGCTTAACAGAGTGTAAACTCGTAAAAGCATAGTAAAGTAGTTACACTTTACCACGGCTCATTCGCTTATCAATGTTGAGAATTGGTATGGCCAGTGGGGGAAAACATGTTTCAGATGGTTGGTCCAAATGTGTAAACAAAAATTATACGCAACATATTTTGTAAAATATTTGATTTAAATAACTACCGTTGCTTGTTTATGACTAACCTGTTACAATTGCTTTTTTAATCATTGTTAATAGCAATAGTTTAAAATGTATTTGAAATATATTTTTGGAACCTGGTTACTAGTTTCCGAAGACGAGGTAATTTCTCATTGGCTGTTGCTGTCCAACAAATGACATTGCAGCAAGTATGTTGCTGACAAATATCTATCGCTTATTTATCCAGCATGATCACCTCGCAAGTATGTTGGGTTTTCTCCAGGAAAACTGGTTTCCCTCCATTTCAAGCCAAACTAAAACAAAAGTAAAAAAAATTGGCCAAATATCCTGAAGCTGGACCGTTTGGAAAAAGTGTTGAGACTCAGCGAGGTTTTGCTGGGTAAATAAAGCACATTGTTATCGATTATACTTTCGATAAGACATTCTTACTGTACGTTTTATTTTTCTATTTTTTTTTTCCTGTAATTGTTTTGAGAAAATCCAGCTCTTTAAAAAATGAATTTTTATTAAACAATCTTTGAAGAAAAAAACCCACGGCATCCCATTTTGTTGAAACCTTTTTAATCATGTGAATGTAAATGTGAAGCCGTTTTGTCAGTCCACTTTGGGATGAGGTCCTCTCCTTGCCATGCAAGTTGTCGAGGCTATTCCACGCAAAACTTCGCAATTATCACAGCCTCATATCATCATGACAGGGCACGGCCTCTGGAACATGATATTTCAAGCGAGGGTTATCTTTAACGGGCCTCACCAACAACAGCTCACCTTCAAGTTTCCACGAAGGGTGGTTTGCCATGTGTCAGTCGTCCGATTTTATTTACATTCACAAATCTGCCTGCCACCTGGTGATGCCAGTTGCAATTACTGGCGAAACGTCGTACTCAGATTGTGAATGTTGTGTATTTGCTCTCCAACACACCGATGTGTTGTACTAGGAACGAATTGGCATGTTCTGTTTGTGCGACAAACCTTACTTATTGGCTGTGTCGGGTGGTGATGGGTTTAACGACAGATTTATATTTATGCGATATAACCCACAAACAAACCCGATATTATGGTTGTTACATTATGCCTGCAGTGTGACCAAATTAAGCGGGAAGTTAATCAATGTTCTGGTTTTGTGGGGTTATTGGTGCTGAAACCCAGAATCGCAATGGCTCTGGCACCGTCACGATGAAGCCCCTAACATAGAAACATAGGCGACGTTGAGGGTAATGTACTTTTATACACCGGCACTCGATGGTCTGAAGGGTGTGCGGCTTCGAACGTGGCAAACAAAAAACATCATTGAGGACCCGACCGTGTAAGTGCCGCGATTCTTTCTCTCACGGCGTCTGTGGACCACACTGACGCAGGACGGGAGATGTGCGTACACGTTCCATGAATGAGAAATCAAAGACTCACCAATCTGCGACTGTGGTAAAGCCCAAACCATCAAACACATCACCGACGAGTGCGCCATCCATGCACACCCTGGCGGTATCGCAGCATCTACTGCCGCCTTGGATTGGTTGAAGGACATTCACATTCAACTATGTCATCTATATACACACTGCCATACAAAAGAAAAATGTTTGCCACCTCCAACCCACACTAACCAACGCACGGAGAGGCCATAATCCAGCAGTGGATTAACAAAACGCCCGTACGTGTACATGACATAGAGACGCGTAGACCCTCTGCGCAATGCCAGGGTCTCGGTAGTGCTCGTTCATTGTGACTTTTCCATTATCAACCTGACATGGCCATTATAAACCCAGTGAAAGAGAGAGAAATCGTAGATCATGGGGCTTTAGCCAGGACTTACCGATGGCTCATTGTCTCCGACACCTGATATTGCAGCAAGGATTTAGAACTCATTTCTTTAAAACAATAAAACTAAACATAAAAACACGTGGGTGTTTTTTTTTCCTGTTATGCAATCATTCACTCGGTGAATTCCTTGTGAAATGTTGGCACGCAGATGTAAAAAAACATAATTATGTAATTTGCTTATCAAAAGCTATAATTTCATGAGATTGGCCCTGTCACATACACTGAAACCAGCATTGTAGATGGCTTGAGTTCAAGCTGGACCTGGATGTCTGGGGAATCATAATGACCATGTCTGAGAAATTGAGGTACATAGCAGCGCTGAGTTCCTAAATTACAACTCTTGGTCTGAGTGTCTCTTCATGGGGTTCATCATGGTCATCTTTGGTACACAGCCAACGCCATTATGGTTTCACGCTCTTCATACCCTTGTCTTGATAAAGCTATTACGATTACAATAACGTTCATAATTATAAATAAATGCTCTAATAAGGCTTTACTGGTTAATTGGCGTGAACCTTGTAGTGCTTTGGCTGGGAAAGAGTTCTGCTAAACAACAGGGTGCTTAAGCGGTGGCCGCGTGGCTCATGGGTCAGAGTGCCGAGTCGCCACTTCTAAGATCCTGGGTTTAAATGTGAATTTCTCAAGTGTAGTGAGACGATGGACTCAGCCCAGCCACGAATGACTGAACCAAAAAGCCATCGTGGCAAAATTGGTCTTGCACTTAAGTTGGCAAAATTCCAGCTCTGAGAATACACATATTCTTAGGTTTTTTCGGTAAAGTCACGTAGGTAAAACATTTCAATTAATAAAAGTAAAAAATATCAAAATCACGACGTTTCGGAGGCAACACAAGCTTCCGTCTTCAGGTGGAACCGTCACAGCCACGACAGCTGTATCAAGTAAATGAGAGATTGCAAAAGCTACCACTCCGTATATATAATGGTTGGAGAGGGGGGAAGGGCCAAGAACGGCACACTTTTTATTCATATGGTAAGGTGAGGCTTAAGAGGGTGAGCCTTTGTTATGGAGAGGTACGGTTTGTGACTAAACATGGTAAAACAAGCCTGGCTGTCTATCAATAACCTGTAATAGTTGTCTGTCAAATAAGATTGGCCAAATAAGTGTAGTTAAATCTTTTTTGCATGGTTAATCACATCTTTCACTTGAAAATATCTCAGAAGTAGCTCGGTGTTATCCACTTCTGTCGGTCGTTTTTTTGCATAGCCACCCCGCAATATTTCTGAATGAATTCTTCATCTCACGACACGACGCACTGGAACACTTGGGGTAAAATACAAAAGCATAAACGGGGCTCGGTAAATGACAATTAGTGCACGTGCAATTTGATACTGTACACTGTTTTGTCCGCTTTAGGATTGATATTAATTGACGAATAAGTGAATGAACGTTCCCATTGTTATTATTAAACTCCTCACAAAGTAGCGTATCACCGCCATTCAAGATATATCAATTCATGTTTTGCAGAGGTTCGTAGTTTAAGCCCAGCAGCCACCCTGGTTAATAATACTCTGGAAATATTAACCACAAACACGCACATTCTGCTTCAAAGCGGACGTCAAAGATCTTGAGACTTGATCCAAAAAGACACACCGGTGTGCTGCTGTATTAGTATTAGGAACGAATTGGCATGTGCCCTAGCAAGTATGGCAGAGCATAATTTATTTATTAAAAGATGCAAAATATGGAACGCTTCACGAATTTGCGTGTCATCCTTGCGCAGGGGCCATGCTAATCTTCTCTGTATCGTTCCAATTTTAGTATATGTACTGCCGGAGCAAGTACAGAACACACTAGTGTCGCGACGTGTATTTATAGTACCGCGGCCTGTATGCGCTTTACGCTATGGGCCCCACAAAAATGTGTGTTATTTTAAATAAATTACTAATAATCGAGCTCATACACATTGTAAACTATTATATTGTAGTTATTGTTTTTTAAAGATCATCACAGTTTGCGCGTCTAAAATGTGCTTATTGAGCATATGTTTGTTCGGATTATAGTTTAGTTTTTTCAGCCCCAGTGCATTGTGGGATCGAAAAACCGGGGCGGCCTCTCACTGCGCTGGATGTGTGTGGAGGTTGATGGAGGCGGTGGGGGGGGGTCACGTGAGTCTCTGCTGTTCGTTCTGCACGTGGTGAAGATTCACGTCTGCGACTGGGAGAGACAAAGGCGGCGGCCGAGAGCTGGGAACGGCGTTCTCATTATTCTCAGGCGCGGTCACACAGCCGGTCCCACGATAGATTTGCATCTTCTCAACATATAAACGCCTCGCTTCCTCTGTGATGAACGCTACATTTCCCGTCGTCTTCACGCAGGGGGCGCCTGGGTTTGAACGACGGAGGCGCACGGACAGACGTTCGATTACGTAGGAATCGATCTGCAGAACGATGAGATTCGGTGTTGATTCTCGGAATCGACTGGGCCTCCAGGCGATGTTGAACAATCCTTGCCAGGACCATTCCCGGCAAACTGAGGAGTGAGATGCCCCTGTAGTTGTTACAGTCTGTGCGGTCTCCCTTCTTAAAGAGGGGGACAACCAGGGCATCCTTCCAATCCTGCGGAACCCGTCCAGTGGTCCAGACTGTTGTTATGATGTCGTGTAGGGCAGTCTGTGCACAAACGCCACCCTCCCTCAGCATTTCGCTTGGGAGATCATCTGTGCCCGGTGCCTTTCCTGGTCTCAGACTCTGGATCGCCCTCAGTACTTCCTCAACAGATGGCACCTCAGCCAGCCACTCGCAGGGGATGACTCCCTCCTCCAATGCTTGAGGCACCGCAGCCTCAGCAGGGCCATCCCCACTTTGTCCCACGTTGTTTTCCTGGCTGAGGGATTTCCCCTCCCCTAGGACCTCACAGAAATGCTCAGCAAATCTGCAAACCTGTCCCTGGGGGTCAGAGATTGGATCACCGTTCTTTCCCCTAATGATGGTAATAGGTGTGGCACTGCAGGTTACTTTTTTGATGGGATTAAAGAGGCAGACTCCATCTCCTGAGCAACCCGCGACCACCACCCATCATCCTTGCAGCGCCTCACGGCTCTCCGAACGAAGGCTGCGGTAAGCCTCCTCATTCTCCGACGTGGGATGCTGTAGCCCATGAGACAACACACACAGCATTACACAGACAACACACACAGCGTTACACATACAACTGTCACACACAACATTACACAAACATAATATAGGTTTTTGGGTCAGATCGCGTTATTTATAAATGTGTCGTAACCCTCCACCACCCGACACGGCCAAACAGTAAAAAAGTGTCACTTTTCAAAGGACAAATTAATTGACTTATTTAGCCCACCGGTGTGCTGAACACAGGGATGTGTTCTTGGATCTTTCGGTAAAGTCACGTAGAAGGGAAATAACAAAATAATAAAACAAATTAACATAACATTCTCACGACGTTTCGGCCACAACACAAGCAGCCGTGGAGGAATGTGAATTAAAAGTTGGCAAAATATGGAACGCTTCACGAATTTGCGTGTCATCCTTGCGCAGGGGCCATGCTAATCTTCTCTGTATCGTTCCAATTTTAGTATATGTACTGCCGGAGCAAGTACAGAACACACTAGTGTCGCGACGGGTATTTATAGTACCGCGACCTGTATGCGCTTTACTTTATGGGCCCCACAAAAATGTGTGTTATTTTATATAATTTACTAAGAATAGTGCTCATACGTATTTTAAACTAATATTTTAGTTATTGTTTTTTAAAGATAATCACAGTTTGCGGGTCTAAAATGTGCTTATTGAGCATATGTTTGTTAGGATTAAAGTTTAGTTTTTTCCAGCCCAGTGCATTGTGGGAACGAAAACCGTTGCGGCCTCTCACTGCGCTGCATGTGTGTGGAGGTTGATGGAGGCGGTGGGGGGGGTCACGTGAGTCTCTGTTGTTCGTTCTGCACGTGGCGAAGAGGAATGTCTGCGACTGGGAGAGACAAACGCGGCGGCCGAGAGCTGGGAACGGCGTTCTCATTATTCTCAGGCGCGGTCACACAGCCGGTCCCACGATAGATTTACATTTCGGTATATGAGCTAAATTGTCCTGTTAGCAGGACGACACATCAACACCAAAGAACCCCGCGTATCGTCTTAACAGACTGCTGTTAGCGAGCACCTATGAAGGCCGGTACGGTACACGAGGGGGTGGGTGGCCAGCACCACGCCCGACCGCCTTTGTCTCCCTAGTGGCGATGTCTACACACCGCACCAGGTACTCATTTGAGGCTGAGTCGACCTAGGGGAGGCCCGGGACCGGTTCAGATAATCGTCACTGGTGTTGGCCGGGAGCGGGAATTGAACCCGGGTCGCCAGGTTCATAGCGCACCGCTCCCCAGACACACACAGCATTACACAGCATTACACAGACACACAGCACAGCATTACACACACACACAGCACACACAACATTACACAGACACACAGCATTACACAGACACACAGCACACACAGCATTACACAGACACACAGCACACACAGCATTACACAGACACACAGCACACAGCATTACACAGACACACAGCACACACAGCATTACACACACACAGCATTACACACACACAGCATTACACACACACAGCACACACAGCATTACACACACACAGCACACACAGCATTACACAGACACACAGCACACAGCATTACACAGACACACAGCACACACAGCATTACACAGACACAGCATTACACACACACAGCATTACACACACACAGCACACACAGCATTACACACACACAGCACACACAGCATTACACAGACACACAGCACACACAGCATTACACACACACACAGCACACACAGCATTACACACACACAGCACACACAGCATTACACACACACAGCACACACAGCATTACACAGACACACAGCACACACAGCATTACACAGACACACAGCACACACAGCATTACACAGACACACAGCACACACAGCATTACACACACACAGCATTACACATGAACACCGGTCCTGGAGGCTCAGCGTTTGAGCGAGCGTCATCTCGCAGTCAGAAGGTTGTGAGTTCAATTCAGACCATTAACATGCGAAGCACCAACAACCACGCAATTTCCCAGGGGAGTCATTGAAATAATAATATAACAAATCTGCCTGTTGCCTGATGAAGCTAGTTGTAATTACTGGCAAAACGTCGCACTCAGATTGTAAATGTTGTGGCTTTGCCCTCCCACACAGCGGTGTGCAGTAAAAAAAGTGTCACTTTTCAAAGGACAAATTAATTGACTTCTTTAGCCCACCGGTGTGCTGAACACAGGGATGTGTTTTTTGGATCTTTCGGTAAAGTCACGTAGAAAGGAAATAATAAAATAATAAATATTAAACATAATAACATTCTCACGACGTCTCGGCCGCAACACACGCAGCCGTCCAGGAATGTGAATTAAAAGTTGGCAAAATATGGAACGCTTCACGAATTTGCGTGTCATCCTTGCGCAGGGGCCATGCTAATCTTCTCTGTATCGTTCCAATTTTAGTATATGTACTGCCGGAGCAAGTACAGAACACACTAGTGTCGCGACGGCTATTTATAGTACCGCGGCCAGAATAGGCTTTACACTATGGGCCCCACATAAACTTGTGTTATTTTATTTTAAATAAATTACTAACAATCGTACTCATACACATTTGAAACTAATGTTATTGTTATCAAGAATAATCACAGTTTTCGCGTCTAAACTGTGCTTATTGAGCATATTTTTGTTTGGATTTTAACTCTCGTTTTTCCAGCCCCAGTGCATTGTGGGATTGAAAAAACCGGGGCGGCCTCTCACTGCGCTGGATGTGTGTGGAGGTTGATGGTGGCGGTGGGGGGGGTCACTTGAGTCTCTGCTGTTCGTTCTTCACGTGGTGGAGATGAATGTCGGCGGCTGGGAGAGACAAAGGCGGCGGCCGAGAGGTGACGCCGGTCGTGAGGGAGTCCCACGGGACCGGTTCAGATAATCGCTGTCACCGGTGGCGTTGGCCGTGAGCGGGAATCTAACTCGGGTGGCGGGGTTCGTAACAGCACAGCTCGCTTGCCGCTGCACGACACACACAGCATTACACACACACAGCATTACACACACACAGCATTACACACACACAGCATTACACACACACAGCATTACACACAGCATTACACACACACAGCATTACACACACACAGCATTACACACACACAGCATTACACACAGCATTACACACAGCATTACACACACACAGCATTACACACACAGCATTACACACACAGCATTACACACACACAGCATTACACACACACAGCATTACACACACACAGCATTACACACACACAGCATTACACACACACACAGCATTACACACACACAGCACTACACACACACACAGCACTACACACACACAGCATTACACACACACAGCATTACACACACACAGCATTACACACACACAGCATTACACACACAGCATTACACACACACACAGAATTACACACACACACAGCATTACACACAGCATTACACACAGCATTACACACACACACAGCATTACACACACAGCATTACACACAGCATTACACACACACAGCATTACACACACACAGCATTACACACACACAGCATTACACACACACAGCATTACACACACACAGCATTACACACACACAGCACTACACACACACAGCATTAAACACACACAGCATTACACACACACATCATTACACACACACACAGCATTACACACACAGCATTACACACACACACAGCATTACACACACACACAGCATTACACACACACAGCATTACACACACACAGCATTACACACACACAGCATTACACACACACACAGCATTACACACAGCATTACACACACACAGCATTACACACAGCATTACACACACAGCATTACACACAGCATTACACACACAGCATTACACACACACAGCATTACATACACACACAGCATTACACACAGCATTACACACAGCATCACACACACACAGCATTACACCCACCCAGCATTACCACACGCATTACACACCAGCATTTACACACCAGCATTACACAACACACACACGCATTTACATACAGCATTACACACACCACGCATTACACAGCATTCCACACACGCATTACACACACAGCAATTACACACCAGCATCCACACACACAGCATTACACACACCAAGGCATTACACACACACAGCATTACACACACACAGCATTACACCACACAGCATTACACACAGCATTACACACACACAGCATTACACACACAGCATTACACACACACAGCATTACACACACACACAGCATTACACACACACAGCATTACACACAGCATTACACACAGCATTACACACACAGCATTACACACACAGCATTACACACACACAGCATTACACACACACAGCATTACACACACACAGCATTACACACACACAGCATTACACACACACAGCATTACACACACACAGCACTACACACACACACACAGCACTACACCACACAGCATTACACACACACAGCATTACACACACACAGCATTACACACACACAGCATTACACACACAGCATTACACACACACACAGAATTACACACACACAGCATTCACACAGCATTACACACAGCATTACACACACACACAGCATTACACACAGCATTACACACACACACAGCATTACACACAGCATTACACACACACAGCATTACACACACACAGCATTACACACACACAGCATTACACACACACAGCATTACACACACACAGCACTACACACACACAGCATTACACACACACATCATTACACACACACAGCATACACACACACAGCATTACACACACAGCATTACACACACACACAGCATTACACACACACACAGCATTACACACACACAGCATTACACACACACAGCATTACACACACACTAGCATTACACACAGCATTACACACACACAGCATTACACACAGCATTACACACACACACAGCATTACACACAGCATTACACACACAGCATTACACACACACAGCATTACATACACACACAGCATTACACACAGCATTACACACAGCATCACACACACACAGCATTACACACACACAGCATTACACACAGCATTACACACACAGCATTACACACAGCATTACACACACACAGCATTACATACAGCATTACACACACACAGCATTACACACAGCATTACACACACAGCATTACACACACACAGCATTACACACAGCATTACACACACACAGCATTACACACACACACAGCATTACACACACAGCATTACACACACACAGCATTACACACACAGCATTACACACACAGCATTACACACAGCATTACACACAGCATTACACACACACAGCATTACACACACACAGCATTACACACACACAGCATTACACACACACACAGCATTACACACACACACAGCATTACACACAGCACACACACCAGCATTACACACACAGCATTACACACACACAGCATTACACACACACAGCATTACACACACACACACAGCATTACACACACACAGCATTACACACACACAGCATTACACACACACAGCATTACACACACAGCATTACACACACACACAGCATTACACACAGCATTACACACACAGCATTACACACACACACAGCATTACACACACAGCATTACACACACAGCATTACACACACACACACATTACACACACACACAGCATTACACACACAGCATTACAGAGACACAGCATTACACACACACACAGCATTACACACACACACAGCATTACACACACACAGCATTACACAGACACACAGCATTACACAGACACACAGCATCACACACACACACAGCATTACACACACACACAGCATTACACACACACAGCATTACACACACACACAGCATTACACACACACAGCATTACACACACACACAGCATTACACACACACAGCATTACACAGACACACACACAGCATTACAGAGACACAGCATTACACACACACACACACACAGCATTACACACACACAGCATTACACACACACACAGCATTACACAGACACAGCATTACACAGACACACACACAGCATTACACACACAGCATTACACACACACAGCATTACACACACACACACAGCATTACACAGACACACACACAGCATTACACACACACAGCATTACACACATCATTACACAGACACACACATGACCAACACAACCCCCAGACAATGTCCACGACCCAACACCCGTAAACAATGTCACAACCCACGAGCAACCGGCAGCACAGTCCGGCTCGTGTGTGCGATCTCCAACGGCGTAGGGATCAATAAGACGGGAAAGGGTCATTTCACCGGGCGTACTTGAAGACCGCCTAACGGGTGCGGCCCCTCCAGGGAAGAAGACCAACGGGAGGAGAAGTGGGTGACGGCTGCTCCACTCGACCCCAATCCACAACCTGTCGGCGCAACCGGCAACTCCAAGGGTACCAGGCGCTGGAATCCTGGGGGCGGAAAACCTGAATCTTCTCAGGCACGACATCCGTGGACACAAGCCCCAGCTCTTGGTTCTTTCGGTAAAGTCATCACGTAGAAGGGAAGTAATAAAATAATAAAAATAAAACATAGTAAAAGAATTTTCACGACGTTTTGGCCACAACGCAAGCAGCCGTCCTCAGGTGAAGAACATGTCTGTCGATAAGACAGAGTCTAAATGACACGTCTTAGGCTTGGAGTGTATTTAAGCTGTGAGGGAGGAGGAAGAGAGCCTTGACAAAAGAATTTGCATGTTTTATTTGTATTATTTTATTACTTCCCTTCTACGTGACTTTACCGAAAGAACCAAGAAGATGAATCCCTGCAGTCACGAAAGCTTTAAATCGAAATTTAAACGCCCCAGTTCGTTGGACAACATCAGCCACCCGGCCCTTGGGTAGTGGAGATGAAGGGATCCCACCCCGGCAGGATAACAACGGTTTCAGTCGTGACGGATGCACAGCAAACGATCAGACTGGATACACACACACCCATCGACAAAACATGGATGTCAGGGTCCCCTGCCACCGTGCAACCATCACATCAATTAGTTAGTTGGTGATAGGGCGAAGTCTAAACCTTATAAGTGCCCATCCAATCACACACCTCCCTCAACAATCAGGTGGTGATGGGGCGACGTATGAACCTTCAAGTGCCCATCAAATCACACACCTCTTAAGTACAGTTTGGACGTCTTCCGGCATCCCGGGCCAAAGAAGTCGTGCTTCAAGGTCGACCCATGTACCGGGTCAAGGAAGACACGCTTCAAGGTCAACTCAGTATGCTGCACCTCAAGGTGCAGCAACCGTTAGTCTGCAGCCCCTATACTTTGCCCCACAGAACGGCGGGTACCACAAAGTTATATCGTTGCAATTTTCCATTCCACACATCAGCAGCCCTACCTTGAGGACCACTAGGGACATTTCTTGTCGCCCTTTAACTACATAACCGGGTCCGTCAGTAAAACACTGCCTGACGCACGATGCCGAGTGTAAAGACCGAGGATCGAAGAGACGTAGCACTGATGGGGTCCATTCCAACAGACAGCCGTAATTGATTTCAGGACTTCCCTTTTATGCTCCTGAGAGTGGCCTCGCTCCGCCTTCGGGTACACCCTCTTCTGGATCTTACCAGAAGGTTCTCGACCAAGCATCACGAGTCCCTCAAGCCACCCTTTGGGCCCCCTCGCTACCCTTCACGTGCCCTCTCGGGTTCATCCAGAATGTCACGTCCTTACTTGACCTCTCTCTGACCGTCACCAGAACCATGCCCCTTGGGGTCCACTTCCATGCCATACTGTGCTCAAGATGCACAGTCCCACTCTTGTGACAGTAGCTGGCGATAAACGACATAGTCACTCCATTTACGTCACGACACGAGAAACGAATTGGCATGTGCCCTAGCAATTTATTATGGAGCATAATAAATTGAATAAAAGGTGAAAAATATGGAACGCTTCACGAATTTGCGTGTCATCCTTGCGCAGGGGCCATGCTAATCTTCTCTGTATCGTTCCAATTTTAGTATATGTACTGCCGGAGCAAATACAGAGCACACTCGTGTCGCGACGGGTATTTGTAACACCAGGGTACTAACATTCTTTTTACCATGGGGCCTGTAAAAGATGTTCCAGTGTTTAAAAAGAGCAACGTGTTAACAGTGATAATCACAAAACATTATATTCTAATATTATAAATATGTCATTGCAACTTTAATTGTATTTTACGTTAAAGAAGTGTGTTTATTGAGCACATATTTGTTGGGATTCACTGGCATGTTGTATGCCCGAGTGCATTGTGGGATACTGGAGGTGCCTTCATGGATGGCACAAAGATGTCCTGGGTCAGAGGCAGTTTGAATTTACTGACCGGTCAAAGCCGTGCTTATTTGCACATTTGGTCATTCAGCACGTAGGAAAAGTAATAAATATGCGACGTTTCGAGCACGGGCCAACGCAGTGTCACCAAAGAATGTATATATTTGAGGGAGGACCACAGTGGAGTTTTGCATTCAAGGAGAAACCAACGTAGCAGGAAAACCACAAACATCAGTCTAAGGCTCAAAGATCTGCACAGACAGGTACGGGAACCTACTTGCTGTACTTCCTCACCAGCCCCCGGATCTGTGTAATGCCAACCAGCTGAAGACACTTAGTGTATCATTCGTGTAAGCAAATAAATTCAGCAACGCTTGTTTGCCATTAGGTACAGGAATATTCTTGGATCTTTTGGTAAAGTCACGTAGAAGGGAAATAATAAAATAATAAATATTAAACATAATTACATTCTCACGACGTTTCGGCCGCAACACAAGCAGACGTTCAGCAACGTTTGTTTGCCATTAGGTACAGGAATATTCTTGGATCTTTCGGTAAAGTCACGTAGAAGGGAAATAATAAAATAATAAATATTTTACGTAATAAAATGCTCACGACGTTTCGTCCGCAACACAAGCAGCCGTCCAGGAATGTGAATTAAAAGGTGAAAAATATGGAACGCTTCACGAATTTGCGTGTCATCCTTGCGCAGGGGCCATGCTAATCTTCTCTGTATCGTTCCAATTTTAGTATATGTACTGCCGGAGCAAGTACAGAACACACTCGTGTCGCGACGGGTATTTGTAACACCAGGGTACTGCATCCTTTTCACCATGGGGCCTGTAAAAGATGTTCTAGTGTTTAAAAAGAGCAACGTGTTAGCAGTAATACTCACGAAACATTATATTATAATATTATAGATATGTCATTGCAACTTTAATTGTATTTTACGTTAAAAAAAGTGTGTTTATTGAGCACATATTTGTTGGGATGCACATGCATGTTTTATGCCCGAATGCATTGTGGGATCGAACAGGTGGGCACTCTGGAGGTGCCTTCATGGATGGCACAAAGATGTCCTGGGTCAGAGGCAGTTTGAATTTACTGACGGGTCAAAGCCGTTCTTATTTGCACATTTGTATATTCAGCACGTATGAAAAGTAATAAATATGCGACGTTTCGAGCACGGGCCAACGCAGTGTCACCAAAGAATGTATATATTTGAGGGAGGACCACAGTGGAGTTTTGCATTCAAGGAGAAACCAACGTGGCAGGAAAACCACAAACATCAGTCTAAGGCTCAAAGATCTGCACAGACAGGTACGGGAACCTACTTGCTGTACTTCCTCACCAGCCCCCGGATCTGTGTAATGCCAACCAGCTGAAATCCTGAAGACACTTAGTGTATCATTCGTGTAAGCAAATAAATTCAGCAACGCTTGTTTGCCATTAGGTACAGGAATATTCTTGGATCTTTCGGTAAAGTCACGTAGAAGGGAAATAATAAAATAATAAATGTTAAACATAATTACATTCTCACGACGTGTCGGCCGCAACACAAGCAGACGTTCAGCAACGTTTGTTTGCCATTAGGTACAGGAATATTCTAGGATCTTTCGATAAAGTCACGTAGAAGGGAAATAATAAAATAATAAATATTTTACGTAATAAAATGCTCACGACGTTTCGTCCGCAACACAAGCAGCCGTCCAGGAATGTGAATTAAAAAGTGAAAAATATGGAACGCTTCACGAATTTGCGTGTCATCCTTGCGCAGGGGCTATGCTAATCTTCTCTGTATCGTTCCAATTTTAGTATATGTACTACCGGAGCAAGTACAGAACACACTCGTGTCGCGACGGGTATTTGTAAGACCAGGGTACTGACATCCTTTTCACCATGGGGCCTGTAAAAGATGTTCTAGTGTTTAAAAAGAGCAACGTGTTAGCAGTAATACTCACGAAACATTATATTATAATATTATAGATATGTCATTGCAACTTTAATTGTATTTTACGTTAAAAAAGTGTGTTTATTGAGCACATATTTGTTGGGATGCTGTTGTATACTAACCCTTCTTCCAAAATTGAGATTAATAATATTTGATGATATTTTTATATATTATCTTTTTACTTGTTTTTTTTAATGAATGAAACACACCAAAGCGCAGCAAACTGCAAAACACCAGGTGTTGTTAAGTAATGAACTGGAGGAGGGCTAGGATGGCAGAATTTGCAACCTTGCGTCAAGGAAAGATAAGGCCTGATGAACGGGCACATGTCACCCGTGCAGGCGGCAGAGACAGTGGGAGTGTCAGCCAGACATAGTTAAGGCAAAAAGCCCAACCATCCTGCATGGTTTTAAAGTAACGTCAAAATTCGAAATTCAACAACAGAGTAGGCTAAAGTATCGATCCTCGCGCTCGCTCAAATTGGAGACCAGGCTGCGAGCTACATCAATGAACCATTGCCCATTTGCTAATCCAATACTGAATGTTAATATTACTGAAGTCAAAACGAATTCTATGACCTCAGCACATGGGCAAATAATAGGGCAGTGTCGACTCAAAGGCAATGGAAGAAAACAGAGGCGCCTTTGTCTAAATCACAACCACAGAAAGCCAGGAATCATCACTGATTGTGTGTTTAGGGATTCCGAGCTAGTTGGAACACGTGCACACAGGGGGGAGGTAGAAGTACGCCTTGTCCTCCTGCAGCTGAGGGAGCAAAGATAAACCCAAGAAGGCCAAGAAATTAAATTAAGTGGGTCAGCTCAAGGCTGTGTGCACAGGGGAGGGAGCTGATTTAAACAACCCTGCACGTCTGAACGTGAGGGGGCCCTGGACCTGAAATTAAGAATAACACTCCCAGAGCAGAAGGTGATGGCCACGGTGAGACGAGAATAAGAGGGTTGTATATCTCTCAAGGATGCAGACCCAGCTGAACAACAAGGCTGCGGGGGTCACCAGAAGTTCGCGTTCGCCTAGTTAAGACAAAAAGCTCAATCATTCTGTATTGCTATTAAAGTAACGTTAAAGTCGGAATTTAACAACAGGGTAGGCTAAAGTTTGATATTCACACCCACTCCAATTAAACCAGGTCACAAGTTACGCCTACTGAACCATCACCATCATTAAGTCAATATGAAATGTTATTTCCATACTTTAATACTTTCTATACAACTCGACCCGAAGCATATGCATGAAAAGACAAAAGTAAAACTTATGAAAAGCCAGGATAACGGGATGAATCACCACCAGGTCGAATATAAATACATAATAAAAAACGATGTTAAACCCAGGGTCGGAGAGAAAGGGAGATCCCGGCCGTCTTTGTATCTCCGCAGCGCGGGATAGGAGTGTGTATACGCTCGGGGAAACACCTCCACTTGAGTCAAGCACCACGATGGGAAACGACAGACCTTAGGTTACATACAGAATCATAACTGTGAAATAGTAAGGGACAAATGTTAACTTAAAACTTCTTAACCATTTCTTTGTGCGCCGGGTCGGAGAGAGTGTTGCCCCTCCCTCCAGGTGGTGCAACACGAACAAAGACGCCTATGAGACGATTTGTAACGTCTGTGTTTTGGGTTCATGAAGAAGGCCAGACAAGAGATAATATTGCACCCAGACAGAGAGACGACCTCGAGGCAATTTGTAACATCTGATTGTTTGCTCGTGGGTTTTATGGAGGGAGTGTGACAACGGAATATTCAGTGGGTGATGCACACAAGGACATACGGACATACGGACACACACATGGACACACCTGCCTACGGACAAATCCTGACAGCAAAAATCGAAAGAAGCCCCGCCTTGTGGGCGGGATCCAGGGGGATTTTTCGGCATAAAGGAAAGGATCCTGAGCATTGGAAACTAGTGCGACCAGCGGGTCGGCTCACGTGGGGGGTGCGACCAGCGGGTCGGCTCAGGAGCGAGCTCGACCGGGAGGGTCGGCTCAGGAGCGAGTGCGACCAGCGGGTCGGCTCGACTCATCTTCAGCTCGTCTGGGACTCAGCCGAGTTCGATCGGCTTACCAAAGCCGGCTCTCGGGGCTCGACTCAAGCGGCTCCCCATCTCCTCTGCAGGCGGGCAAGACCCGCTTAACAGCTCAACTCGGCCTGCGTGGGTCAACCTCTGCCGAGTCGGAGGTCTCTGCTGCCGCCGGAGTGGTGAGGGTCGCGGTTTGGCGACGAGGCTCCGTGCACACGACGACCCAACACTGCACGCTGCGAGCGAGTTGTGGGCGCCACCTACCGACCGGGTTCCGAACTGCGACAGCGTATCAACGGGCATCCGAACCAGTTCACCACGGTGACAGGGGAGCGACAGATACGTATGACGCGCACCGCCCCCTCACCACACGACCACCAGGCGTCTGTTTGACATAAAGAATCGACTCCGAACACTGACTATTCAAGACAACTCTTACCACTCAAACACACTCGAACCCATAAGCCATCTGTGGCTGGGAAGGCATCACAACGAGACCGAGTGATGGCCATCCGTCGTTTATAAGAGTATTCGTAATTTTTATCTTTAATATTTAGTGGGCTGTACTCTTAATCGCATAAATTCCCAACAGATCCATCAATACGAACTGATTCTTGGCACCTCCTTCCGCCGAGCCACGCTCACGTGGGGAGTGGTGGCCCACCGGATCCTTATCAGGTGATCTGGTCCCCAATTAGTAAACTTGGTATAAGATAACGATCTTCGGAAAAGGAGCACCGTCGCAGGCCCTTACTCCGAGCCGTTCTGTTGTCAGATAACCTGCCGATGTATCTGTTGAGATTGGTGCCTTTAAGAATAATAACTGTTTTTGATTGTGTTTTTTTTATCGCCGTATAATCTTTCAAGTATCTTTCAGTCATAATCGCCGCACGTACTCGCATCCTCTACAGAATATTCAACTGTCCCGTGACCCAAGGTGCTAACAACGTGATAAGGGTTGCGTATGATCAATAAGGAGTGCGGTACTGCGTGAACAATATTGAGTATAATCATTCATTAACGTTAAGGTTTTCTTAGCATAGTATTTGCATATTTTAACGACTCTCTCTCTCACTAACAACCATCGCGTTATGCGGGATCCATGTGCCGTTGTCAAAGTGAAATCAGACAATCGTTGATGATACTGTATTGATGCCGTGTTGACGTTCCGGGATTGAGAGTTCGCATACTATATCATAGTTAAGGTTGAATTAGTAATAAATTGATCAATACAGAAGTGGTTGTGTGATTCTTTCCTGAAATCTATGCATAAGATCTGCTTCTGCGTCGAGATCTGAACTTGGTGACCTTAATAAACACACTAATACATACTCAGTAAATGTTAAAGCGATAACGGGGTGAACCGGGGACCTAAAATATAACCACGAATACACACTCTGGGAATGTTAAAGCGAGAATGAGACGAACCTAGACAACGATGCCGAGTTAATCTAAGTTAATCTTGCATACTTACACCACACCTGCATAACTGCATACGATTAATTGCCTTATTCCGATCGATAACCCACCCTCGTCACTGAGGCGGGGTCTGGTTATCATAACGACTTGCATTATCATAATTACACCCACTCGCATAATTAATACGATTACCTCTCGAATTGGCATAATTAAAATGTGCATAATTACATAAATTAACATATTTCCGGATAATTACACATTTGGCCAAATTTCATTTAATTATTATTATTTTCACTGAATATTCATAACCCACATATACAACATAATAATTTCACCCACGCACGCATACAACATAACAAATTTTGATAACCAACATATACAACATAATGGGTGGCGTCGTCCGGGATCTCTCGCAGACAGTTTATGCATGAATTCAGGAACGAATCACTGTTGTGTTAATCAAAGTGTTGTGAACTAACGTTGCCTTGTGATTGTAAACGGGGGTATACAAACAAAACGCGCTCTGAAGGGAAATACCAGAGTAGCAGAGTATAACAAAGACAGCTGGGCTGAGATTATTTGCTCGAGTTGAACTGACGCATCCTGTGATACAATTGTTTATATGTGCTCTGAAGGGGAATTCTAGAGTAACTCACGACGCACATGAGATGTTAGAATTAAGATACACTCTTAAGTCTATTAACCACACTACATAATAGAGATGGCACAGGATCCACAACATTCTGAGTTTGACACACCAACGCATAACACTGATACAGAGTGGACCTCTGAGGAGGAGATGGAATCTATGGAAAAACAATATCGGGAATTTGTGTTAAAACGTACTGGACGGACTGCTAGCCAGCAGACGGAGCAGAGAGATATATGGGAGGGGAGCCATACAGAAGATGTTAAGGCCCATAGAAGGAAACTACTTAAGGATGTGATGAAATGTGGCAAAGCCAAACGTGACGTAAAAATTGCAGAAATAGCGAGGGTAGACTCGTATCTCCTCGCACAGACAGACAGAGAAAGATTATGGAATGAGGAAAAATTTGAAAGGGAGAGACAAGAGAAACTGTCCTTAATGGTGCAGGTAGAGCGTCTGCACGCCCTCGTGAGAGAGAAAGAATCCGCACTAAATGCACCAGTGAAACACCCAGACGTTGATATACAGAACACATACGGGAGTAACAATTTACCACACTCCGAGCCACGTGGACGTAGCCCAGGGCCAGATCTCACAACGAGTATGGCTACTATGCAAAGCAATTTTGATAAAGTAACACCCTCGCAAATCGAGGAGAGAGAAGAGGAAATAATAATACAAACGGGAAAACATGAGGCCGACCACCCCAACGTTAGAGAGAGACAAATAATTAACCCTAAGTCATCAGGATACACTGTAATGATAGAGCGGAAAAGGGCGGAGCTGGTGCAAGACGGGAAACATGACATAAACAGCACACCAGGCAGACGCACGCTACGCAAGTATGGCCGACATGATGCAGATGACAAAGACAGCTCACCAGAGAAACGCACCTCGCACAAACACGACCAACACGACACGGGTAACAGGAGCTCACCAGAGAGACGCACATCACACAAGCATGAGCCATGGGATAAGCAGAAATCACCGAGCCAAGTTGACCCACGTAACAGGTGCAAAAGGCACTACAAAAGTTATGTTAAGCAGAGCCACCGTGATGGTGACGGCTCATCTGACACTGACTCCTCTGACGATGACCAATACGACATGGGTAACAGAGAGAGCTCACCAGAGGGACGCATGACATGTAAAAATCACCCGTGCAAAACTACCCGCACCACAGATGACAGAGACAGGAATCCCGATAACCATGAAGCACGAGACAAACATAAATGCAACACCTCACCTAGCAGGCACCACACACGTAGTAGGCAGCATGAAGGTCAAGGACAAAAACACTCACCACATAGACACCGCTCAAGGAGATCACGCACACCAACCCACAAGCACGAATCACAAGACCCACATAAGGAAAACAAGAGACACAAGCAACGGGACAGATACGAATCCTCGGACAGAGGGAGATCACGACACAGACACGGGACACATGACAACAGTGATAGTGGAGACAAGGGTAGCTCAAGGGAGCACTCCTCAGGAACCGACACCACTGATGACGAACAACACACTTTAAACAGTAAGACACTAAAACTAATGGACAAAGCACTCGTGAGAATTCCCTATTTCGATCCACATAACAAGAACAGGGATATACACACTCACATAGCTACAGTAGAACAGGAGGCTAAGATCCGGGGTCTGGGTAAATCAGCAGAAAAGGCATGTTTATTATCAAGGAGCCTACATGAACCCGCCAGACCATGGGTAGCCTCCCTGCCAAATAGGGTGAAGAGTGACTTTAAACAACTGAGCCTGACAGTGATTCGGAAATTTGGAGAATATTCGACACTCACTGAAGGGTTTTATGCTGTAAAATCGATGACCCAGGGCATGGACCAAGATCCACGTGACTACCTCGTACAATTTAAAAGAGCGTATTACGCAGGCGATGTGAATCAATACCACGAAGGAGATAAAATGTTCAAAATTATGTTTTTTGAATCCTTGAGCCCAGAGATTACAGAAAGGGTGAGAATGGTTTTGAATCCAGAAACCGCATCCTTACGCCGCATAGAGAGCAAGGCGTACATGGCATGGTTATACAGAGCTAAGAATCATAATTCGGATCCAGAACACAGGGAGAGGGATAAAGAACCCAGCCTCTCAGAGAGGAATAAAAATCACCGAGCAGTCCCACCATGCAGGGAGCAGCAAAAACGCACGCACACATGGCAAAATAACCCAGAGAGAGGTTGGCACGAGAATGAGAGCGGCACAAAGCCGAACATTCAGGAGAATCGCAGGAGGGAGAGGTTAAGGGCAGAACCATATCAACACCCCATGCCCCGACATGCGCAAGGTCAAGATTACCCACAGGGATGGCGAAGTAACAATCCAGGAAAAATTTGGCACCCAAATGGGAAAAACACTGGGCCAAGGGTGTACGAGAATCGTAGGAGGGAGAGGTTCAGAACAGAACCATATCAACACCCCATGCCACGACACACGCAAGGTTCAAATTACGCACAGAGATGGCAAGATAACCACCTAGCGGGAAGGTGTTACACAGACCGCGGAGGTATGGATGCGAACATTCAGGAGAATCGCAGGATGGGAGGTCAAACACAATCGATCCAATTCCGGCCAATTCCTCCACCGGCTATACCAGGAGGGAATAGAGGAATAACACAGAATGCGGTCCAAATACATGATAAACAACCCACAGTGAGCGCGAGCGAGCGGCCAACACGCGCCCCACCCGCCGAGGTGTTAAACCCGGAGCTCAATGTGAAATACAGGCAGGCTGCAAGTGACAGGGCGGGCAAACACGTGGACAGTGATACGTAAATGACGCGCGGATCGAATACAAGAACAGGGATGATCATACTAGTCCTGGCTATTCTAACCTTAACATACCATGTGGCCAAAATGAATGCCGAACTTAAAAGACTAATCGCAGGCACAAGCCACCTACCATTCAAGCCCAGGAACAGGGATAGAGCCAAGGCCTGATGATGCCACCCAAGAATAACCGTAGAAACTATCTTTTTAACGATATCTCCTATAACACGTAGTCAATAGAATAATTTTTCCCTCCCTTATCGTTTTACCTTCCTTTAGAATTTTTTTCTTTTTCTTTTTTCCTCTCTCTTGTCACATATAACCATGTTAAGTTGTGACACGTACGCGCGCGTTGTAAGGAATAGCAGCAAAACTTGAGGACAATCGATGGTTCATGATGGAAGAAGGGTATACATTTTTTTTAAAAATAACCCGTGGCCATTTAACCACTGGTCATTTTTAAAAGGGCGGAATGTTGTATACTAACCCTTCTTCCAAAATTGAGATTAATAATATTTGATGATATTTTTATATATGATCTTTTTACTTGTTTTTTTAATGAATGAAACACACCAAAGCGCAGCAAACTGCAAAACACCAGGTGTTGTTAAGTAATGAACTGGAGGAGGGCTAGGATGGCAGAATTTGCAACCTTGCGTCAAGGAAAGATAAGGCCTGATGAACGGGCACATGTCACCCGTGCAGGCGGCAGAGACAGTGGGAGTGTCAGCCAGACATAGTTAAGGCAAAAAGCCCAACCATCCTGCATGGTTTTAAAGTAACGTCAAAATTCGAAATTCAACAACAGAGTAGGCTAAAGTATCGATCCTCGCGCTCGCTCAAATTGGAGACCAGGCTGCGAGCTACATCAATGAACCATTGCCCATTTGCTAATCCAATACTGAATGTTAATATTACTGAAGTCAAAACGAATTCTATGACCTCAGCACATGGGCAAATAATAGGGCAGTGTCGACTCAAAGGCAATGGAAGAAAACAGAGGCGCCTTTGTCTAAATCACAACCACAGAAAGCCAGGAATCATCACTGATTGTGTGTTTAGGGATTCCGAGCTAGTTGGAACACGTGCACACAGGGGGGAGGTAGAAGTACGCCTTGTCCTCCTGCAGCTGAGGGAGCAAAGATAAACCCAAGAAGGCCAAGAAATTAAATTAAGTGGGTCAGCTCAAGGCTGTGTGCACAGGGGAGGGAGCTGATTTAAACAACCCTGCACGTCTGAACGTGAGGGGGCCCTGGACCTGAAATTAAGAATAACACTCCCAGAGCAGAAGGTGATGGCCACGGTGAGACGAGAATAAGAGGGTTGTATATCTCTCAAGGATGCAGACCCAGCTGAACAACAAGGCTGCGGGGGTCACCAGAAGTTCGCGTTCGCCTAGTTAAGACAAAAAGCTCAATCATTCTGTATTGCTATTAAAGTAACGTTAAAGTCGGAATTTAACAACAGGGTAGGCTAAAGTTTGATATTCACACCCACTCCAATTAAACCAGGTCACAAGTTACGCCTACTGAACCATCACCATCATTAAGTCAATATGAAATGTTATTTCCATACTTTAATACTTTCTATACAACTCGACCCGAAGCATATGCATGAAAAGACAAAAGTAAAACTTATGAAAAGCCAGGATAACGGGATGAATCACCACCAGGTCGAATATAAATACATAATAAAAAACGATGTTAAACCCAGGGTCGGAGAGAAAGGGAGATCCCGGCCGTCTTTGTATCTCCGCAGCGCGGGATAGGAGTGTGTATACGCTCGGGGAAACACCTCCACTTGAGTCAAGCACCACGATGGGAAACGACAGACCTTAGGTTACATACAGAATCATAACTGTGAAATAGTAAGGGACAAATGTTAACTTAAAACTTCTTAACCATTTCTTTGTGCGCCGGGTCGGAGAGAGTGTTGCCCCTCCCTCCAGGTGGTGCAACACGAACAAAGACGCCTATGAGACGATTTGTAACGTCTGTGTTTTGGGTTCATGAAGAAGGCCAGACAAGAGATAATATTGCACCCAGACAGAGAGACGACCTCGAGGCAATTTGTAACATCTGATTGTTTGCTCGTGGGTTTTATGGAGGGAGTGTGACAACGGAATATTCAGTGGGTGATGCACACAAGGACATACGGACATACGGACACACACATGGACACACCTGCCTACGGACAAATCCTGACAGCAAAAATCGAAAGAAGCCCCGCCTTGTGGGCGGGATCCAGGGGGATTTTTCGGCATAAAGGAAAGGATCCTGAGCATTGGAAACTAGTGCGACCAGCGGGTCGGCTCACGTGGGGGGTGCGACCAGCGGGTCGGCTCAGGAGCGAGCTCGACCGGGAGGGTCGGCTCAGGAACGAGTGCGACCAGCGGGTCGGCTCGACTCATCTTCAGCTCGTCTGGGACTCAGCCGAGTTCGATCGGCTTACCAAAGCCGGCTCTCGGGGCTCGACTCAAGCGGCTCCCCATCTCCTCTGCAGGCGGGCAAGACCCGATTGACAGCTCAACTCGGCCTGCGTGGGTCAACCTCTGCCGAGTCGGAGGTCTCTGCTGCCGCCGGAGTGGTGAGGGTCGCGGTTTGGCGACGAGGCTCCGTGCACACGACGACCCAACACTGCACGCTGCGAGCGAGTTGTGGGCGCCACCTACCGACCGGGTTCCGAACTGCGACAGCGTATCAACGGGCATCCGAACCAGTTCACCACGGTGACAGGGGAGCGACTGATACGTATGACGCGCACCGCCCCCTCACCACACGACCACCAGGCGTCTGTTTGACATAAAGAATCGACTCCGAACACTGACTATTCAAGACAACTCTTACCACTCAAACACACTCGAACCCATAAGCCATCTGTGGCTGGGAAGGCATCACAACGAGACCGAGTGATGGCCATCCGTCGTTTATAAGAGTATTCGTAATTTTTATCTTTAATATTTAGTGGGCTGTACTCTTAATCGCATAAATTCCCAACAGATCCATCAATACGAACTGATTCTTGGCACCTCCTTCCGCCGAGCCACGCTCACGTGGGGAGTGGTGGCCCACCGGATCCTTATCAGGTGATCTGGTCCCCAATTAGTAAACTTGGTATAAGATAACGATCTTCGGAAAAGGAGCACCGTCGTAGGCCCTTACTCCGAGCCGTTCTGTTGTCAGATAACCTGCCGATGTATCTGTTGAGATTGGTGCCTTTAAGAATAATAACTGTTTTTGATTGTGTTTTTTTTATCGCCGTATAATCTTTCAAGTATCTTTCAGTCATAATCGCCGCACGTACTCGCATCCTCTACAGAATATTCAACTGTCCCGTGACCCAAGGTGCTAACAACGTGATAAGGGTTGCGTATGATCAATAAGGAGTGCGGTACTGCGTGAACAATATTGAGTATAATCATTCATTAACGTTAAGGTTTTCTTAGCATAGTATTTGCATATTTTAACGACTCTCTCTCTCACTAACAACCATCGCGTTATGCGGGATCCATGTGCCGTTGTCAAAGTGAAATCAGACAATCGTTGATGATACTGTATTGATGCCGTGTTGACGTTCCGGGATTGAGAGTTCGCATACTATATCATAGTTAAGGTTGAATTAGTAATAAATTGATCAATACAGAAGTGGTTGTGTGATTCTTTCCTGAAATCTATGCATAAGATCTGCTTCTGCGTCGAGATCTGAACTTGGTGACCTTAATAAACACACTAATACATACTCAGTAAATGTTAAAGCGATAACGGGGTGAACCGGGGACCTAAAATATAACCACGAATACACACTCTGGGAATGTTAAAGCGAGAATGAGACGAACCTAGACAACGATGCCGAGTTAATCTAAGTTAATCTTGCATACTTACACCACACCTGCATAACTGCATACGATTAATTGCCTTATTCCGATCGATAACCCACCCTCGTCACCGAGGCGGGGTCTGGTTATCATAACGACTTGCATTATCATAATTACACCCACTCGCATAATTAATACGATTACCTCTCGAATTGGCATAATTAAATTGTGCAAAATTATGTTTTTTGAATCCTTGAGCCCAGAGATTACAGAAAGGGTGAGAATGGTTTTGAATCCAGAAACCGCATCCTTACGCCGCATAGAGAGCAAGGCGTACATGGCATGGTTATACAGAGCTAAGAATCATAATTCGGATCCAGAACACAGGGAGAGGGATAAAGAACCCAGCCTCTCAGAGAGGAATAAAAATCACCGAGCAGTCCCACCATGCAGGGAGCAGCAAAAACGCACGCACACATGGCAAAATAACCCAGAGAGAGGTTGGCACGAGAATGAGAGCGGCACAAAGCCGAACATTCAGGAGAATCGCAGGAGGGAGAGGTTAAGGGCAGAACCATATCAACACCCCATGCCCCGACATGCGCAAGGTCAAGATTACCCACAGGGATGGCGAAGTAACAATCCAGGAAAAATTTGGCACCCAAATGGGAAAAACACTGGGCCAAGGGTGTACGAGAATCGTAGGAGGGAGAGGTTCAGAACAGAACCATATCAACACCCCATGCCACGACACACGCAAGGTTCAAATTACGCACAGAGATGGCAAGATAACCACCTAGCGGGAAGGTGTTACACAGACCGCGGAGGTATGGATGCGAACATTCAGGAGAATCGCAGGATGGGAGGTCAAACACAATCGATCCAATTCCGACCAATTCCTCCACCGGCTATACCAGGAGGGAATAGAGGAATAACACAGAATGCGGTCCAAATACATGATAAACAACCCACAGTGAGCGCGAGCGAGCGGCCAACACGCGCCCCACCCGCCGAGGTGTTAAACCCGGAGCTCAATGTGAAATACAGGCAGGCTGCAAGTGACAGGGCGGGCAAACACGTGGACAGTGATACGTAAATGACGCGCGGATCGAATACAAGAACAGGGATGATCATACTAGTCCTGGCTATTCTAACCTTAACATACCATGTGGCCAAAATGAATGCCGAACTTAAAAGACTAATCGCAGGCACAAGCCACCTACCATTCAAGCCCAGGAACAGGGATAGAGCCAAGGCCTGATGATGCCACCCAAGAATAACCGTAGAAACTATCTTTTTAACGATATCTCCTATAACACGTAGTCAATAGAATAATTTTTCCCTCCCTTATCGTTTTACCTTCCTTTAGAATTTTTTTCTTTTTCTTTTTTCCTCTCTCTTGTCACATATAACCATGTTAAGTTGTGACACGTACGCGCGCGTTGTAAGGAATAGCAGCAAAACTTGAGGACAATCGATGGTTCATGATGGAAGAAGGGTATACATTTTTTTTAAAAATAACCCGTGGCCATTTAACCACTGGTCATTTTTAAAAGGGCGGAATGTTGTATACTAACCCTTCTTCCAAAATTGAGATTAATAATATTTGATGATATTTTTATATATGATCTTTTTACTTGTTTTTTTTAATGAATGAAACACACCAA